ACGGACCAACGGTGACGGGGATGGATCGACGGGGACGGTGACGGGGAAAGTGACGGGGACGGGGACGGGGACGGGGACGGGGACGGGGGAAAAAGTGCTTCCCATATAAATCTCCATTTAATATAATGATTTTAAATGGTATTGGTTTATCAGTATATTTGTGTTAAATGTTTAAAATATGCAAAATATTAAAATTATGGTACATATCATACACAAAAAAATAACCTTGAACTTGGTTATCTATCCTAATGGTCGCGCATATTAACCAGAATTCCAGCGCAGAATCGGCGGATTATTTTGTAAATAAATACAGAATATGTAGTATTCTATTAATGGCATTATGGCAGATAATAATCTAGATGAAAATGCTATAAATTCTATAAATAATGATTATCATGAAAATTTTTATATTAAATGTAAACATTATACATTTAATTTATTTAAATTCTTGACAATATGTATATACATTTTAAATTTATATTCAGTGCTGTTCGGCTTATTTGTAAGATTGATTATTAATCATAATGATAATAATAATAACTATACAACCTGTTTAGTGATTGATAGAACGTTTCTTAATAATACTCCTTGTTTTCAAGGTAAATTTAAATAAAAATACTCATCTATCTAAATTAACTAAAAATATATTTATTATTTACAGGTGGTTTACATAGTATAATTTTATACTATGTACAAGGTAACTGGGAGTCTATATTCTATGCTGTGGTAATGAACCAGGTGTATTGTTATTTAATTTACTGGGCTTATTACGAGTGCTATACGTTAAGCTTTGTCGGGGCACTTGTTTCATGGATAATGGCCCTGGTGGATTTGTTTTTAATATACTTTGTGCCTGAACATTTGTTGACCTGCAATTTGATCCAACTAGTTTGTTTTATTGTATATTATTATTTATTATGTAATAAATTAGCGATAAATCCGTGTAAACCATGTGGCACAGCCTGGCGTTTCAGGCATAATTAGATTTATTTAATTTATAAGCATGTACATTTCTAATATATTTTGACAATCAATTATTAATTAAAATAAAATATTTTACCTGTAATATTTTTAAACCACAATTCATATATACAAATTCTGTATTAAAATATGCAAATTATTATAATTTATAAAATTAATAAAATTTGGTTAATGTTTATATTTAATTCCACAATAATTGTATTAAGTACAACATTTTTATTAAAGGTAATTAATGGCATCTCTTAATAAACATTTTAAAGTTTTAAATTGCATATATTTTATTTCCAATTATCAAATACGTAGAATCTAAATCACCAAATATAAAGTTCATCAAGTGTTAAAATAAAATTACCATATATAATTATAATTAATTATATCTGTATTTGAACATTTCATGCGGAATTTAAGCGCAGAATCTAATCTTTACATTTTTACAATCTCTAATCTGTACTTATATTAAATAGAAAGATGCCAGAAAATAATCATGTTGAAAATGTAATAAATTCTGTATATAATCAACATAATAATGATTATTTAAAAAAATGTAAACAGTATACATTTTGTATATTTAAATATGTTACAATATGTATCTATATGATGAATTTATATTCATTGTTATTTGGTTTATTATTAAAAATAAATATCTATCGCTATGTAAATGTACATGATTATTCTACCATTATGGTGCTTGATGAAACATTTTTAAATTATACCCCGTGTTTCCAAGGTAAATCTAAGACAATATTTAACTTACAATTAACTACCATTTTTAACTATTTTTAGCTAGTTTACATAGCATACTCTTATACTATGTACATGGCATATGGCACGCTGTAATACTTGCTGTGATAATGATCCAGGCACATTTATATTTAATTTACGTGGCCTATTATGACTGCTCGGCGTTTAGTTTTGTGGGCGCACTTATCTCATGGATACTGGCGTTGGTGGACTTGGTTTGCATATACTTTGTGCCTAATAATTTATTAATATGCAATTTAATCCAACTAGTTTGTTTTATTGTATATTATTATTTATTATGTGACAAATTAGCGATTGATTATATCAGGCCATTTGGCACTTTGTGGCGTTTTATACATGATTAATTTCTTATATTTAAAACTATGTGGTAATTTAATTCCGTAAAATATACTTTATTACACAAAATTATTATTATATTATGACAATTTGTTATAGCTTTTTAATGATTTAAACATAAAATTATTGCTTGTTGATTTTAAATTTATAAACATTATAATACAATTATACGGTACTTATCAAATGTAAATATTAATATTTCAGTAAATTAATAAATTAAAATATGATAATAAATAATGATATGGTAAACGTAAAGTATAATTCCCTATTTTATATTTATCTTATCATCATGAATGATATTTTAACAAAACTCTTTCAATGTATGTTAATACTTTTAATTAAAATTGATTACGGACGCTATCTCAATTATCGTGCATGATAAACACTTTATAATATTTTGTGCAAATTAATTCTATTGCCACTTATTAAGTTTATAACATTTAAATGACCACTTATAAATATTTCAAAGTTTAAAACATGAATAGCATTACATGTATACTTGATTCTGAATGGTAAAGCATTCAAACATTATATTAACTAGAATTTGAGCGCAGAATCTAAAGAATTGTTGCATAAAACTTAATTATCTACTATTAAATTATATTAATACCCGGAGCAGTTTGTTGGCGCCAGACTAAACATGTCGGGCAAAATACGCTTTGTTACAGTGTGTATAAAATATTTGCTCATGGTAGCTTATGTCTGCCAGATTGTGTTTGCTCTGGTCAATTTTGTGTCCTACAACCATGGTGAAATTGCCACCAGCACCCGATTGTATGACAACAACCAGACTATCACTGACGAGATTAATATTTATCGCATGTTTGATAAATCAGGTATGTCCATTGGTCTATATATTATTATAATATTACATAATGAAAATTGAGAATGGTGACATATAAATTATTGTTTACACTAAAACGTTTAACTCGTTTGTTAATTATAATGATATAAACACTTATAAACAGGCGTGGCATTACATGTGGCGACTAATTTGGCAATTATTATAATCATGGTATGTTGTCTGGTGGTGACCTACTACGAGTGGCCTATGCTATTGATCATCATCATATTGCTTTTAATTCCACTTGTGATTGGTTATTTACTAATGGGAAACTATGAACGTACTACAATTCGACAAGTTATCGGCATTATTTATATAATGATTATGGCCCTAATATACGCCCATTTAATTTACTGGCAATGTCCCAGTGCCGAGAAAATGTGCATGCCTACAACCCAGTATAAGACAAATGCGTTCAATGGGCATAATTTAAATTTAGGTTTGCCAAACACAAAAAATAAAGCTATCATGCACAGTCATAGCAAATATGACAAAATGTAATGAGCTTGTTAAAAACAATATATGCTGTTTAAAATGCTTTACGTGACTTATATGGTTATTCTTGGTTATTTTTAGCATGTATTTTAAAATAAATAAATTTTTACATTTGTAAGCTTATGGTAATGTATATTTAATCTGAACATACAGATTGTTAATAACAAATGTTATACTTAATTATTATAAAGTTTAAATTATAATGTCACTAACTGTACTCAAATTATTTTATAAAACATAATTTACTGTGATTTATTATTTCAACTATTGAACAGCATTTACTTAACAACTTAACTGTTTTCTGACAAACATAGTTTGTACAAACTTATTTAATTTAAATATAACAGCATGTTTGATAATTATAAATGCTATTTCAATGTAATAATCTATTAATTATCATAAGTGAAAATATAATGTATTTTTAAATCATACGCTAAATAATTTTATTAAAAAACAAAACAAAAACAACCTTGAATAT